GCAAACTCACTGGTTTCCTCACCAGCTCGGGCAGTATTTAAACCTAACAAATACCCATCTAAATAATTAGGTAAATCTCAGTATTAACAATTAAATGTGTTTGTTTCTAGGCCTTCCTTAGCCCAGAGAATCCTGAGGAGCCCTATCTGGAGGGCATTGGCTTTCACTGCGTGGCTCCGGGCAAGCGCTTTATGCCGATGGACAGCTTGTCAGGAGGGGAAAAAACAGTGGCAGCCCTGGCCCTTGTGTTTGCTGTACACAGGTAAAAGAACTGCTCTGGGACTATCCAGGGGGGAAAAAAATGTGTTAAGGTACTCTCCAAGTATCTGGCCAAGTAGGTGATAGAAAGACAGTATTATGCTTGTACACATGTTAAAAATTCTGCTAATGGAGTGTTCAAGCATGCTGAAGTCCTTATTCTTTATCTGCCATGACTTTATATATTCAGTGTAGAATTTCATGTTAATTAAAAATATTAACAGTTAATTTGTCTATTATTTAATATTTAATATTAAATGATATCTAATTAATTACAATAAATAATATTGTAAAATACCATCAACTTTATTAGTTGATAGTAATTAGAGAGTAAGTAATTAGAATGTTGATTAACATTTTGGTATCTCACTGCAAAATACTATCTTGTTTTCTACAGCTTTCGTCCAGCCCCTTTTTTTATTTTGGATGAGATAGATGCTGCACTGGATAACACAAACATTGATAAAGTAAGTTGCTCTTTTACCAACAATATCTGGTACCTTTTGTAAAAGTGTGGCTACTTCCATTGCAGGGTGTTGGGATGCAAAGATTGTTTAGCCTGACTGAATCTGTTTTAAATTAGATTGGATTTAGGTCTGAAGTAATGAGTCTATGAGATACAGGAAAAAATTAAATTCCTTCATCCAAGTGTGTTTGATTGGTCTCTAAATTGTAAAGGTGTGAGGACGTGGTGAGGAGTGTGAAGGTGTTGCAGGTGTGTTGCGTAACCCCATGTGGCACAGTGTGACCTGGAGGGCACCTGGGAGTTGTGCTGCTTGGAATTGGTAAGGCCTTGGAGTTCCCTTGGCTCCAATAAGTATCCTAGGAGTGTGTCTGCATGTGGAAACCAAGTCATTCTGCCACTGGAGTGTTTAATGTAACTGGCTTAGTAATTGTTTTAGCATTGGCACCAATTAAGCTGTTGCTCCAGTAATTTTAGTCACATGACTTTTCTTGATTAAAGCACCTTCCTGCCCTCCTAATTTCTCTTTCCCTTTTTGCCAGTAACTGTTCAATGTAACAAGAACTGAGGCTGGAGCATAAACAGCAGAGATTGCAGCTGTGGATGGCAGCCCCTGGGAGGAGGGGAAGGCTCAGAATAGGGGGATTTTTGGTAGGGAGGAATCCTAAAGCTACCACATATGCCTAGATTTTCTTCTGTGGAAGCATTCTTTTTCAGAACAGTATTTCTACTAGCATTACTGCTAATGTCAGTCTTGGTAGAGCCTAACAAATAAAAGCAGTTGTTTAAACACCAAATATTTTGCTTTTTCCCCTGACAGAAGTGTGCAGGCAGAGGGCTCATTAAAACAGTCCTGGTTTTCCTTTATGCAGCATTTAATTAATATTGGGGGAAATTGCAATCTCACTAGGAAATAAGTAACATTTTGTACCTTTAAGTTGCATTATCATTGAGAAACTTACTGCTGTCTGCATAGAACTAAATTAAGATTATTATACAGCCAATATCAAACCTTTCACACTTTTTTTAAAAGTTATTTAGGGATTTCCACCTTCCTTTTGCATTATATAAAGTAAAATTCTTAATCATTGGCATTGGTGTTTTTTTATAGCTTCATTCACTGGAATGAACCATTATTTTCTTAAATGTTTTCAAGAAGCAGCCATACCTGAGGGATTGTCTTAAAACCATGCAAAATATCTGGCTTTTAAAACTGGTTTGTTTCTCATTTTAGCAATCATGATGGAATTCTGCAGCTAGCACAGTTCAGTTCTTCCTTAACCATTCCCTAATCACAGCATTGTTTCAGGTTGGCAGAACTAACTGGAATACTTGGTTTCTTTCCAAAGGTCTCAAGTTTCATTAGAGAACAGGCACATGAACAGGTCCAAATGATAGTTATTTCCCTGAAGGAAGAGTTTTATTGCAAGGCAGATGCATTGATTGGAGTGTGTCCTGAGGTAACAATTAATTGTGGGTAAATAATGGGGTTGTTGAAGTTCTGGGTCACAGCTGAAGTGTTGCTCCAGTGAACCAGGCACACAGTTGATGGCTGGGTGTGTCCTGCTGTGCAGGTACCAGCTTTGGGGGACATCCTCTGGGGAACTCGAGCTCATGAGTTCATCTTGTAGTTATGAAATGCTTATGTCAAGTACCAGAAGTGTGTTACATGTTCTGCTCCTCCCTCTCCTCAGCACAATGAGATTATGTTCAGCCAAGTCCTGACCCTGGATCTTACCGAGTACCCAGAGGGGGAAGAACAGGACACAGTAGAGAAGCCCAGCCATGGTTCTCTCTTCGAGTAGTGCATTGATGGTATCAGGGCCAGGTGACAACAGGAACTGGATTCACAGCTGACTGTTACAAACCTGAGTTTGAATGTGGCTGTTAGAGGTTGACAGGGGAATGTTCACTTTTCAAGTGAAGCAGTTTTGCAGAATATTCAGGGAATCAGCTGCTACTCTTTGATGCAGTTTTGTTATGGAGTGAGAGCCCAAGGCTATTTCTGAGGTGTGCACACTGATAACCAAAGCTTTCATTCCAAGTATTTTGGCTGTAAGAACTGCTGCAGGTTCATTTCCATAAGTAGAGTATTCCAAAGAACAAGCCTCTTGTTTTTCTTAGGAGAAGTCCATAGTGCCAGCATGCTGTTCAGGTGCTCACTGCTCCAGTCAGGACGTTTTGTGTTATAGCTGCATCTATTTGCCTTCAGAATAGGATTATTTCCTGTTTTCTGAAACAGTGAGGTACTGGCATGTGTTCATTATCAATCCTGTGGCAATCAGACTTCAGTTCTCCACTGCAGCCTTATACAGGTATTAGTTAACTGTACACAAACTTGGGATGCAGCTCTAGAGCCGTTATGTAACCTTGAAAAATTTCCCCTCTGAGGTATTTCACCTCATACAGAAGTGGAAAGAATGAGTCATGCTATAGAGACAAATTAAACATATATATATATATATAGATACATATATATATATAAATGTAATGTTATTATGTAGCTGTCCCACTACACTGAAGTTACTTTGCTGACTGTTCTTCATCTAAGCAGATGGAAGTTAATTAATTTTTCTTCTAAGTTAATCATCTAAGTTCATCTAGTTTTTCATCTAAGTTGAGTAAAGAAAACTGAAAGCTGGAATCACTTTATCTGGCTTATGTTCCACCTCTGTGTGTCCTGAAGTTCTTCCCTTAGTTTGTGGCTGTTAATAATTTTGTGTTCACAGAGCAGGTTCCTTTTTTCCTCTTGGTTGCTTGCACATACCTACCTTGTCATGTGCTGTGAGCCCTGGTCTTGTGCTGGGCCTGTGAGGATCCTGCCTCAGGGAGGAAGACTGAGCCAGGAGTGTATTGTGTTTCACAGGAATACAGATGTTCATCAAATACTTGTGTTATTGCTACACTTCATTGAATAAAATGAAGTGTATGGCATGAGTCAGCATCAGTGCCTTATTTCAGAATCTGGTGATGTATTAGAAGATTGAGGATACAATAGATGGCCCTCAAGACAGGAGGCTGCTGGACAAGCCACAGTTCAGCAATATCTACAAGGGAAAAATCAGCAATGCTGGGTGTAAACTGATCCTTACCAAGGGAGGGGTGGGATTTCCTATTGTGGACCTAACTTCAAGTAATAAGGAGTTGCATGACTTTAGGGTTTAAATATGGTAGTAATGAGGGTCATAACTACCTCCATGCAAGTGATTTTGCTTGGCTTGAAACAACAGGTGAAGCATTCTGAGCTGATCATCAGGCTCTGCAAGAGCCTGACCAGTCACTTTCCAAAGCAGCACTTTACAGCAGCTGCAGGAGCTTTTGTGTAACGAGAGTAAAGACCTGCCAAACCACAGTTCAGACAGAAAGGTCTCCAGCCCCACCCCTTGTCCTCCTGTAAAACCCCAACACAACCTGACCTGCTGTCAGAAGGCATAACAGAAATCCTTAGGCAGCAGCCACAGGGACACCTGACAGGAGCAGTCCTTCAGCCCTGTCAGGTAGACCCGTGATGGTGCACCATCAGCACAAAGAACAGCCCTGGACATGCTGTCCTGCAGCCTCTGAGGCTGGAAAACTACACCTGCTTTTCAGTGCTGGCAGCTGCAGTGAGAATTCTGTCTTGCTGCCAACATGATGCAGGTGGGGAAAATAGTAGGTACTGCTGGGCCTCACCTTCACCCACGGAGCAGTTCAGCCAAAGGCAAACTTAGACACTAGGAATTACCTGCTGTCCAAGGCAGCAGGCAGCATGGTCTGTGATGTAGCAATATTGAAAACATTTCCACAGGAACCCACTGCAAAGCAGTCAGGGAGTGCCAGCCCTGCAGATGCAGCACTGCTCCAGCTTTTCCTTCCCAGGTGATCTTGTGCCTTACTGGACAAAGGGAAAAACAAATCCTCATGCCTAAAGTGGAAAGCAGGTGGGTCATCATGCAGTGGGTTCCATAAATGTGGAACAGCACTCTTCTTCAGGATCTGGGGATCAGAGACTGAAGCCTGCAAGACCCCTGAAGAATTCAGAAATTCACCTGCTCTTCAGCTGAGGGAAGAACTGAAACCCCTCTATTTTCAAAGGTACTTTTGACAGATTCAAACGTTGGGCAGCTCCACTTGGGGAAAAGTTTGGTCCAAGTGGCTTCACATAGATGCAAAGAGAAGTTGCATCTGCTTCTGTCTAACCCTGCAGATCCTGCCTGAGTGGTCTGGCAGTGCCAGGGGAGTGACTCATTTGATTCTCAAGCTTTACACACGACACATTTATGACTTTAGAAACAGAAAACCTAGTATGTACAATTTTATTCCGCTCAAAATCATTACAATATCAGCTCAAAACTTTCCATGCAGCAGATGTAAACACCTACTGTTAAAAAGCTTCTGGAGTGGGCCTTGGGTGTTTAGGGTTTTTTCATTCAAGAGTGGGCATATCTGACTGCTTGATCCTCTTGGGAGAATCTGTGCCACTTTCTCCTAACTTCCTTTTAGCACAGTCCACACATGATGTTCCTGGGGTGAGAGAAGGAAAAGAAAACACATTATTATTGCTACATCCATGTGCTTGGTGTATTTTTTATTCTAAGCACTAGCTACCAAGATAAACACAATCCTGGTCCCCTGAGGTTCTCATATTTGGATTCTGAATTACATGTAACATTAACCCTGCTAAACATCTGGGCTCAAGCTCTCCCCCAAAACTGATCTCCAGTACTGACACCACAGGGACTCTGCTCAGGATTCATCTGCCTTTTGCCAAAACTAATTTTACACCTGTGAAGTTCACACATGAGTCTGGATCCCTTATTCAGAGGCCCCAGCTTGAGCTAGAGGGTTGACTACCCCTGTGGTCCCAGCTTGAACCATTCCAGAAGTCTGCAGCAAAAATCCTTGGTGTAAGCTGCGGCTGGAAATGCATAAACAGCATAAGTGGAGAGTAAAGTGAATGGAATAGAAATTGTGGGGTGTTCTACACAAAAATCCTTTTCAGTTTTTTACTTGGTCTGTATTCTGAACTACAAGTAAACAGGTGCTAAAACTACCTAAAGATGGTGCTAACAAATTAGTAAAGGAGGACTGTTAAGAGGGACTGGAATAAATAGTACTCAAGGTTTCGGTTTCTGTTCTGCCTAATTGTAGTTTATTGAAATTGGGATTTATGAACTTAGTTGAGAGAAAGGTTGCTGTGTCTCCCCCTCAACAAAAGGTAAGTTTAAAATCCCACTGGAATTACAAAACTAATCTCCAGCTTTACACCTGCAGACAAGTGTATTGGAGCTTGTGTGCTTTTTGATTAGGAAAGAGCAGGGTTTTCACCTCCTGCACTGCCAAAGGCCCTTATATGCAGTACTGAATTATACTTCTATACAATTTTGATGTTGGCTGTAGCAGCACACATCTCTCAGCAGTGGAATCTTTTTGTTTCACTGTATCTTTTCCATCAATTGGGTTATTAATTTGGAATGCTAGGGTTATTCACAGAAATATCACAAAGCAACCTGAACAGCTCAGCTGTAAAATCACCTTCAGTACCACACCCTTGAGATTCACTCTTTCTGACCCCCTTAAGGAAGGCTTTTGGAACAGAAACCTGTATTTGGAAATCTAAGCCAAAAATTTCATTGATGTTAGCATATAAAAGCTCCAGAAAATGCATATAAAAGTTACTAGCGTTCACCAGAGTACACTGAGGTAATATTATCATTTGTCATTTGATAGACTTGAAAAGGCCATCAGTTACCTGCTGCTAGGCAGAAAGAAAACCAGAGAGTAAAAAAGAATGTTCAGCAAACTTTCAGAGCTAGATCAGAGCTCTGCACAGTAATTACTTAATTACTTTGGAAAAGAGAGGGGTATTTTTCTTGTATTGGTAGGATTTTGGAACTTTCTGTGAAAATAAAAACGTTACTTACCCAACAGCGTTGTGCTGTCCACCTGATCAGCATCTAGAGAAGTGGAAGACACATCAGCAACACACATGAGCATCCAGAAACTTTTTATACTTTTATGCACCATCCCAAAACAGCAAGGTTGTATTTAGAATCCCAGAATGGTCTGGGTTGGAAGGTATGTTAAAGCTCATCCAGTTCCACCCTCCTCCCATAAGGGGTTATGTTTCCTCTTTTCCAGTCAGTGGGAACTTCCCCAGTTGACAGTTTTTTAAATCATAAGCAACTCCATTCATGGTTTAGCAGATTGAGAATTCCACCAGGACATGATTACTCCAGCCCAGATTACTACCAACCATGACCTCAGGTCCAGCTGAGCCTCTCTGTTGGGCTCTCTTTCACCTCTCCTAGGGAGTGGTCCTCAAGGCATTCCAGGATTTCTGGACTGTGGTTTGCTATGTTCCTTTTCCAGTGAGTGTCCAGGGGCCTGTAGTCCCCAGTCTGCATCAGGTTTACCATGGTTTTGCATTTCTCATTTCTTTAATATAACCCTTCTAACAAATTCCCCCTACTACATTTTAGAAGAGAGTTTGTAAATAGGCACAAAAAACCAAACCCTGACAGTTTTTGGTGATGTACAGAGCAATTCTGCACACCTGAAACTGTTTAATTTTGGATCTTGATTGTGAATGCTATCATGAGGTTTTCAAATCTGAGTAAGGTCCCTCTTCTTGCAAGTCTGATGCAAATCAGGCTACAGACAAACTTCCTGGAATCCCAGTGGTGTGATAAATATTGTTTTCTAGCCTTCATGGAAAGAAAAACATAATGCAGTCTAATTGGAATAGTCATCAAGTCACAAAAAACAGGATATTAATTTGGACATGCACTTTTCAGGGAAAGGTTTCTCCTATGCACCACCTGGGAGTAATTTTAGACAAAACAGTTTCACTGAAATGATAAATAGAAGAGCTGTCAAATAGCAATTCTTCCCAAGGTAATTTAGTTATATTCCTCTGTTCTCTGGATAAACCAGAACAGAACTGTCCTTGTTTGGAAAACATTGAAGAAATCTCTTTCCTTAGATATACAGTTGTTGTTTCTCTTCATTCTCTTCACAACCTTAAGTGTACTAAACCAAACACTTATTGGATGCACTGATTTAATTTCCCATTCTATGCTCAGTCAGATATTGTGACTCAACCAGCTTATCTCACCAGCTAATCCCTTCAATTCTCTTGGTCTCTTTTCCTGACAAGTCCAATTTCTGACTATGTAATCCTCAATAAACTGAAGTAGTTCACATCATAAATATATGTTAAGTAAACATCTTTACCAAATACTAACAAAGAGACAAATCTGTAATTCAAGATTAAATTTGCAAGAATCCACAGACCTCCAAAATGCACAGATTTCAAAAAAAAAATCTAGTTACAGTTTGGCCACATGCTCCAACACTGCATGTCCCTCGCAAGCAACACAGGGTCAGTGCCTTGGATCAGCTGCAGTATTCAGGCAGGGCAAAGTGCCCAGAACATGCTCCAGATTGTGGTGTAAAAGAGGCCACATTACCTGGACTTCTCTCTTTGCAGATTTGAGCAGTCAGATCCTGGACATATTCTGGGAATTGTTGGAAGCAGTCCCCATAGGACACTACTTTTATTCCATGCAGCAGCATATCTGCCTGAAGCTTAAAAAAGTGGTCTTCATTTTCTTTAAGCACCAACATGTAATGTTCTAGATCAACTTTGTTCTTTACTGTGTAAAGAAAAAGAGCTTGGAATATCTGGTCACGCAGAGTCTCTCCACAGCCCAAAAACAAAAAAGACTTGGTTCGGTACAAGTTCTGAAGAACCTCCTGTGAAGGATTAGAAAGAAACAAGAGCCACATTTACTTCAGCAGACAAAACCCAAGGTCAGAACTTTTAAAATAGATCAGCAAGAAAAGGACCAGCAGAGCAGAACCTCACTAGTGACCTGAAAAAAGCAAATGTTTTAGGACCAGGCCAAACTGACATTTCAAACCCATTGTTCCTACACGAAAAAAAAAAGGGCAAAAATCTCATAAAATACAGGAGTTGGAATAAGATGATCTTAAAGGTCCCTTCCAACCCAAGCCATTCCATGGAATTTAAATAGGCATGTAAGTGTTGCCAGCAAGGGAATTTAAATTGAAAGAATTAGGGTGACAGAATATTGCATTCCTGTTAGGTCAGCCTCTAAATATGGAAAATTAATATTCCTGACCTGACTTACTATGACAGCTAAGACAACATTAAGTCCAGGATCCTGATACCAGTTTAAACCCCTAAGAAACCTAGCAATCATATGATGATAAATGCCTGTCCTGGAGTCCAGTATTTTGAGGTTCCTGTTCTTTCCAGAGATAAATACAAACTGTGACATCCAGCTGAGGGGTTTGGTTGTGATTTACACAGCCACTGTACCCAAGGGCATAGACTGCCCTTCCAACAGAGCCATCTTCCTAAATAATTCTGAATAGTTCCTCTGGTCCCCAAGTATTTAACCTGTATGATCCCACAGAGCCTCAGATATCTTGTCTGCAGTGACTACAAGAAAACTTTGACAAAACATAATCAAAATTTTAAAAGATCACACCAACCATGACTTCAGGATCTTGAGTAACATCTTTGTATCCCGAGGGATCAAGCACCATTCCACAGGGATCCGTATATAAGCCGTGAATATGAAGAACTCCGTATTTTATATGGCCCCTTGCCCACTGAAGAACCTAAAGCATCATGCAAGATACATCCTTTTGTTATAATATACCACACTCACCATGAATCTGCAAAACTGTACAGCTGAACTGACTTATAAACCACTTAAAGCAGAAAGAACTACTTTTGCCCTTTCCTACAGCAAGACATTGCAATTACTAATTACACAGATCACTTTAAATCTTAAAAAAGAGGTGATGGCTGATACTGCAGCTGTCTCTGGCTTTTTGGGTTAAACAGACAGTCAACCAAAAAGCAAGCTCAAGCAGCACTGGCAGAAAAGGTATGAACAGCAAATTAACTACCAGCCAGGTGAAATTCTATTTAGAATTTTAACAATGACTTTACATGAGTTATATAATTTGTGGGTTTTTCCAGTAAATGGCAGGGCACTGGTTGACAAACACATCACTGAAATTCTCCTTGGTAAATGTTAGCAGATTATTCAGACTAAAGAGATACACAAAAGAAATGTCTGGGCATCTGCTGTAAGTTATAGACATGCTTTAACAATTAACAACTTTTAGTCTTGATTTTTTAAACAGGAAAACATCTTTCAGTGTGGCTTATGTCCAAGTTGTCATAAATTAAGTCTAATTTACTGCTCTAATCATACCTTATCCTTATCTTTAAGGTCTAAAGATTCCATAGGTTTACCCAGTTGCTGACCAAATATTTCAAGCAGATTATCATAGTTTGTAGTGAGAACCATTGTGCCTCTCTCCATGAGCCTCAGGATGGATTGCAGAACCACAGGGTTCTGAATGTGTTGTTCTAAATTATCGAACACCTCCATTAAACAATCCTGGAAGAAGTTGGGCTTCGTGTCCCCGGTACGCTGAGGAGAGAGGAGAGGAACACCCCATCAAGCCATGTGCTCTGTTACAGCTGCCTCCCACAGGAATCCCACACCCTCTGGCTACTTAATGCCAAAGCATTCCTGTAAAAGAGGGCTTGAACAGTACCAAAAGCAACCAAAACCACCCAAAACAAATCTCAGTTTGTTCCAGTGTTCTTGCCTCTACTTAGTGTAGCTCCAACCAATTTGTTTGGGCAACAAACAAGGATTTCTCAAGAGAGCTTGTTATACAAATGCAATAGAACAACACTTAAATTAGCTTACCCTGGATTCAGACACACCAGTATTTTATCAGAATTCAGCTATTCAGTATATACTGGATATCCCTGGGATATAGTATTAAGAGGGATTGAGTGGGGGAGGGAGATGGGAAGCAGTTTCTGTTTTCATTCCTGATTGAGAAAACTTTATTAATGATTAAATCTGCTATGAACACATGCTGACTTATTGTCACACTGGAGCTCTTGAGAAGTTCACCCCAGCCTACACTTAGCACTATTTAAACTAGAAGGAAAACCTGGCAAAGGTTTTAACACCATTTGAAAACCTCTGGAAACTCGGATGGATGACTGAGATGGGGCATGCACAGGCTGTCCTCAGGGAAGCGTGATCTGCACTGGTGATTCACAATGTGTGGCCCAAGGCCATCAGCAGGCTCAAAGAGAGCTTGAAATTCCTCTTTCAATCTCAAAAACATTACATCAGATATTTAATAGTCAGGACTCTTGTTTGCATTAATTCTGATGAATGCTAACTTATACTAAAACTTGGGGATTTTTTAGTCTCCCCAAAATGTACAACATGCTGTACGATTACTCACAAAATTCCCATTTTCACCATTAAAAAATCAACTCTTGGAAGAAATGTTCCCTTATAACAGAACAAAGGTACTTAGTAGGCTTAGAAATTAACAGAGTTATAAACATACTCACTGGTGACATCTTCCTGATGAGATCATGTGCAACCACGAGCAGGTCTCTCTCTTTCATTACTTTCTTACGGAATTCAGCGACATCGCCGGGGTGCAGCACCTCCAGCTGCTCGGCTGCTCCAAGGACAGCCTCAATGCAGCTCCTCCAGGAGCAGAGTGCTGGGATTCCTGGGGCTACTGCAGCACTCACTCCCGTCCCAATTACCAGGAGAAGGTCCCGAGGCTGCTTTCTTATGAGGCTTTTCAAGAATTTTCTTAAACACAGAAAACAAAAGTGTGCATTGTTCACAGTGCATTCCCTGGCTTGCCTGAAGAGCTCAGGGACTGACTCCAGAAGCTCACCTGAGCCATTAAAGCTTCTGCACAACACCAACAAACCAGCAGGATCTGTTCCTACAGTTCTCCATTCCTACACAACAGGATGAGACAGGAGCCACAGAAGCTCATGGCTTCCCCCAAACCAACAATAGCCTTCACGCCTATTTGCCGTGTCAGACAAATAAATGTGCATGGTTAATGCCAGCCAAAAAAAGGCAACAACTTCAAATCACTACTGTCTCTCAGATCCAAATTGACAATTGCCAATTTCCAGGCCGCTGGGCAAGCCAAACACCATTCCCAATGAAATTTTTAAAAAAGTAGGCAAAAGATTGTCCAATGACTGAACTAATACATGTGATAGAAAGGTAGAACTATTTCAAAGGGACAAGTCACACTATTAAAAGAAAACAAACTTTTGGCTTTTTTCTGGGAAAAAGGGAAGTATTTTATTCTGATTTATGATCACTGTAGGATATGTGAACATAGTAGTCATGCTGGTTCAGATCCAGGGTTCATCCAACTCACTGTTTTGACATTACTACCCACAGATCCCTCTCAGAGGTGTGTTGGTGTTACATCCATAGTCTCTGCATAAACCAGCACAGAGGAATGTGAGGAAAATCTGTCTTTCATGTTTACTCAGCAAATAAGTGAAAATGCATATAAACCATACAGCAAAATCACTCTGTACAAACAAAGATTTCAGTAGTACAGAAACTCAGAACTCCTCTTGACTTACCAAACTACCTTTACAGATTTTCAGTTCCTGGTAACATGGTAATAAAGATGATTAACACATCTTATTTCACAATCATTCCAAACTTTATTTGGATCAAACTATAGTGTTCAACTTGAAATGGCCTCAGGCAAAGCAATAAACATGTAGGTATGGCTGTCAGCTAGTGCCTACAAATAAAATATGTTTGATGGCCCCATGCCTCCCTGGTACATTTAGCCCAAATTGTTTCCTCCTCATAAACAACTTGAGTGAGCATGAAGTACTTGGTCAGGGAAGAAACTAGCTTCTGGGATAATTTCATGTTTTCTGGCATGATGTTGCTCTTGTATTCAATATTCAGTAGTTTATTTCCACTGTGGTGTCAGATTTTCATTAAGAGACAGTTCTGTATCAACTCTAATACAAGTTACCTGAATTTTTGCTCACTTCTAATGGTGGCCCCTTCTGGTGAATCCATCTCTGAGCCCTGAATAAAACAAAAGGCAAAATAATTCTTACTGCTTCTATCCTAGAAAAAGCCAAAACCAAAATCAGATTTATTACTGTTGATTTTTTTTTCTCTTTATTCCTACCAACTGTTGTAATATCAAGGCTCCATGTGTCACTCATCCATGTGTCATTCATCCCAGTGAAGCAAGACAGTGATGGAAACAAACCTGCCAAAGGACAAGTGTGCGAACCCAGCACACTCCAGTTAAGCTTCCAAATGCCATAGGACAGAGGTAATAGAGATGCAGCTGTTCATGCAGCTAAAAAATACTTGTGCCTAAATTCAGGATAAAATTTATCACACTTAAAACTACAAGTCATTTCAAGTCAATTAATGAGTTTCATGGTTTTATTTTTTTCATAAGAATCAATTTATTCAATACAGTTTGTGGAAAACCAGACTTCCACATCCCACCTGCTCACAAAAAGCCTTCTGAGAGCCACCTAGCTACATGACCGGACTGCAGGGTATGAGAGATTTTATTTAAAATACTTGCTGAGAAAAAAATAACTTACTACTGTATCATCTATTATGTCTTATGTCTGAAGTACAAGAAAGACTCTGTCTTGCCAGGAGAACTGGCTTTGGGATCATTACTTAGAAACCCCCAAATTTCGTTACATTTAATTTTTTATGAGGATGCAATTTTTGTTTGGCTTTGAGACAGTTTTTGGTGATGGTGATGGCAAACTGCAGTCCCTAGTCCCTCAAATAAACATTGTGCCAGAGCCTAGGGCTCCTAAGATAGTTGCCAGCTCTCACATTCATGTGCTAGAGGGTAATTTGGAAACAAGCAGTTATAATAAAGAAATAATTCAGCCCTATGAATTGAGTCAGACATCGTAATTTCTTCCCATTGGGTTCGCTTGCATTTACAATACCATTCATGAAAGCTTTATTAATTACACCTCCCCACGTTTAATAAGAACATCTCACCACGGGCTGCTGTCCATACGAACATTTCAGACCTCGCTGCTTCCTTTGAGCTGCTGAAGTCGCTCCTGGAAGGCGCAGCCGGGCAGGGCAGAGGGATCCCCGCTCCTCGCAGAGGAGGATGGAGCTCAGATCTCCCCGTGCTCCGAGCACGGCCAGCAGCTCCGGAGCATCCTCGGGGCTGCCCGCAGCTCTGCTCAGCTGCTTCCCAACAAGGGCTGGCAGCGGGAGCCCGCCGTGACCCAGGGATGCCCGGCGATGGGAGCTGGCTCCTCACTCCCAGCGCAACGAGGGGACACGGCAAAAAACTTCTAATCTCGCATCTGTCCTGCTCAACACACTCCGGTTTTACGGGCGAAATAAGAGCTCTATTCACCGACTGAAACTCCAGGTCAGCGGGCTGACTCGACGAAGCGAGAGCAGGGGAGGAACAGGAGCGGGAGCGGAGCAGGAGCACGGCAGGAACAGAAGAAGGAGCAGGGCAGGAGCAGGGCAGGAGCAGAGCAGGAACAGAAGAAGGAGCAGGAGCAGAGCAGGGCAGGAGCAGAGCAGGAACAGAAGAAGGAGCAGGAGCAGAGCAGGAACAGAAGAAGAAGCAGGAGCAGAGCAGGGCAGGAGCA